TTTTCAGCTAAAGATCCCCACATGCTTAGTTCTCAGTTAAAAAATAAACCTGGAAATCTCAATGCACTTTCAGTGCTTGAGAGAAGGAATTACATTCTCATTCACAGCATGTTGCTGTGTAGAAATATACACTGACAAACAGAACATTTACTTCATGATGTCAAATGAACATAAAAATGCCAGAAACATGTAATTGCAGAAGAAATATTATTTTCATTCATATTTGATATGCTACAGTTGTCTGGAGTGTTATAGGTGTTCTCTAATGACAAAAATGGGAAAAGAAACTGAGCAAGGCATTTTGGTTAACCTCTAGGAAAAAAAATATTTAGAGCCAGGTAAATATTTTCATTTTGGTGAGGAAATTATTTACCAACAGCAGAATAAACCAGAATCTGTCCAGTCATGTTTATTAAAAACAAACAGAACCATTCAGTCTCTGGAGACTAATTCAAAACACAGTTAGCTAGAGCCATTCAAAGTAAAACAAAACAAAAGTGATAGAAAAAAAGATGAACAAAACTGAATCCCAAATTAGATCCTGACACTTAGCTCACCTTTGGCTGAGAAGAGACAGACTGGAGGCCCTGTATTGCTTGGGAAACAAGAAAGTGGAAAAGAACAAGAGAAAGCAGGAATGACGAATTATTTCAATGTGCAAACTGCTTGCAGTGAATTAAGTTAAAGTACACCCAATATACACAAGATTTTGGGATACCTTTTATTGGTGATCCGGTGAGCTATTCCTAAGCTGTTCTCTAAGTCCATTCCAGCAGGAAGCCCCAGCAGGCTGCTGGCGAGCTGCGGGGACAGGAGAGCTCTGGCTGTGCTGCTGCTGGGGCTGCCCGGCCTTGCCCTGCTCCTGCACAGGTGGGAATTGTCCCCACAGCAGGAGCAGCTCAAAGCCAGGGCTGTCACTCCGTGCAGTGCCATCCCTCGTTGTCCTTTTCCTCTGGCAGCGCTCCCTGAAGAGCAGCACACCCCTCCTTCTGCTGGCACTAACAGCTGAGGCTGGACAATAAACAGGAGGTAAGGATAAACCGACAAAAATCAACCTTGCTTACAAGCAAATAGCCTGAAATACGCCAGTGACACTTTGCTGAGGAGATACAGAGACGTGATCAACAATCCATATCTTTAAATTGAAGCAGAAAATTGATATTCAGGCATGACTGCACTCTGTTGAAATCCATTTTAGTGAGAATTGATGGTGAGTTGAACCTCACCTCCCTGACTTGGTTCCAAGTAAGATCCCAGCCAGAAGGGCCAGGTAATCCTGGGCAGGGTCTGTCCACTACAGCAAAGGAAAAAAAAAAAAAAAAAAAAAAAAAAAAAAAAAAAAAAAAAGTTGTTCTGAGAGGTGCCTTTAAAAGGCAGCGCAGAGAAAAGCAACGAGTGACAGCATGGAATGAAACAGCGTTTGAGCTCTCAGGTGACACAGCGTGACTATTCCCGGATGGAAGGAAAACGCCGTGCTGTGGTTTGCCCGATTTTCCCCCAAAATGCACCAGCAGGATGCCTGCGTTCCCTGCTGCATTCCTGCACTGCCCCTGCGGGTGGAGCTGACACTCTGCTCGAACAACTCCTTTCCCCAGCCACAGAATCCAGCTTTTCTTCTTTCCCGTGCTCCCAGCCCAAAACACTGGCGAAGATTAGAACCACATCCGTCAAAATATCCGGCTTTGGCCTGCTTTCATTGGAGTATCGTGTACTCCTACAGGCATCCCCTGTACCTCGTCTTTGCACTCTCTCAGCTCTCACTTCCAAAATAACAGGGAATTTCCCTCCACTTCAGCCTCCCACACACTTTCTGTTCTGCAGAATTTAGCAGAGGAGTTGCACTGGAATCAATTTTCAGGGTATGGCATCCTTTTAGTTGATGGAAATGTCACCATGCCATATACCTGGCAAATCCATTATCTTCCCAATGCACTCAGTGACCACCTGACTGAAATCCCTTGCTCTATGCTCTGCCCTCTGTTCTGGAGGTACTTCATGCTATGTTATTAGAGTCTGTATGAAAATTGGATTTTTATTTTTCAAAGGAAAACAAAGCTGAAGGAAAAATAAGCACTCTGTGTGTGGAACCCCAGCCCTTATTTCCCCCTGCCATAAATAACCAGTGCTCCTTTGGTATGGATTTTTTTTTTTTTTTACCCAATGTACAACACAGAAATATTCAGAAATCATCACCTGCCTGGACTATTATTGTAGGCCAGCTTTTGTGTGGTGTCACCTGTGAATGGGCTGATTTCTCTGAATTCCTTCTGTTCACACAGATCTAAAATGGGCATCCAAATCTCCCCCTGTATGACCAGCACAAACACTGAACTGTATGAATGGATGCACAGTTGCCCTGTTGGCAAATTCCCATTATGCCTCTCCCTATCAGAATTTACTCTGCAGCTCTATTGGAACCGCCCACAAATGTATATTCGCACTGATAAAGCATTTTAAGCCCCTAAACAGACAGTTTTTCATAATCCTATTAAAGGAGAGAATTGTAACTACAATATCAAATTAATTCCTGCAAAGTCCTGCTGTCCAAAAGCTAACCAGTTTTTACCTGGCTTGTGCCAGTGGTACCAGTCCTCTGAAAAAAAACATTACCAGTTCTGCCACATGTTTTCCCTTCAGCTGCCATGCTGTAATAGTGCCATCACTGTGACAACAGCTACAGTCATCCTTCCAGCTGCACAGAGGAGTCAGAATACACAAGAATGAAGCATAAAATGGGGGGAAATGACTTACTGATGGAAGACAGAGCTCGTTCTCCAGAACTGAGAACCTCTGCTACGAGCAGTGTTGAAAAGACTTTCAAAACATCTTTTTATGCCAACAGTGATGTTGGCTGGTAAAAAGGTGGAACGAGAATGAGTGAAAACATGCAGGAGTAATTGACAAGGAATGTGTCAAGGCATTAGCCACAGGTACTTTGCTTTTTGGTTCTGCATGAAAAGAAGGTTTTCTCATAAAATAGAATTTTATGTGTTCCTACACGGGCAATTTTTACAACCTTACCCTCACCTCTGTACATTACTGAAGTACCTCTAGGGAAGGATAAAAACCAGACTTCTGCTGTACAGCACTGGCTTCAGGGTACCTCTTTAGTGTGTTTTAATGCACATAAAAATGCCCATGTAAGACGTGGGTGGGCAGGAGCACCAGTAAGGTGAGGATAAATAAGAACTTGGAAATTCTGGGTGAAATTCCTGCCTGTACAGCCCTATGAGTTTGTGCTCACTGTTAACAGGGGTGAGCTGTGCTGAAGGTAATGGGCTCACTCACAAAAACAGCTACTCAGCAGCATCAGGGACTTGCTGGGGCAGTATCAATTAAGTTCTGCTCAGCCTAGAGAAGAGAAGGTTGCATGAAGACCTCATGGCAGCCTTCCTGTACCTGAAAAGACCTAAAAGGAAGCTGAAGAGGGACTCTTCATCAGGAACTGTAGTGGTGGGAAAAAGGGGAATGGTTCAGACTCAAAGAGGGGGAAAATCAGGTTAGATTTACAGAAGAAATTCTCTACTGAAAGGGTGAGCAGGCCCTGGCACAGCTGCCCAGAGAAGCTGTGGTTACCCCTGGATCTCTGGAAGTGCCCAATGCCAGGCTGGACACGGCTTGGAGCACCCTGGGACAGTGAAAAATGTCCCTGCCCATAGCAGGGGACTGGAACTGGATGATCCTTAGGGCTCTTCTAACCCAAACTATTCTATGACTTTGTGTATTAGAACTGACATGCCAAAGATATTGTGGCTGGAAGGTTCTATTGTATAATGCACAATTTGTGCAGGAAGAAAATGCATATAAAAGGCACAATAGAGCACGCACACCCACATGCACAGAGACTACAAGCACATATCTAAAGCAAACAGGCTCTTCCCTTCTAAGTGCAGTTCCTTTTCCTTGGGAGCTCAAACAGATTCTGACCTCATGTCTGACATTTGCAGAAATTTCAATTTGAGCAGTTGTTTTCAGGAAGCCATCATTCATAATTTAGTGTTGGTTAAGAATCCTTTTTGTGAGAAGGCTGTGTCTGATATAGAGGGGGACATAATAAATTTGGTCTCACAATAAGTAATCCCTCTAGACCAGGATGAAGTGAATAAAAGAAAAGCAGAAGAGAGGAAAAAACTTGTTAATGTGGTTGCTGCACCTTCTCTTGTTATCACAAATGATCCTTAGTTCTGACTAGGGAGGAACTTGAATTTGTGTGAGGCATCAGGAGACGCCTCTGCTGCTGAGAATTAGCACCAGATAGAGATGATGGGATTTGTTCAGCTGTCCACCCTGGAAAAGGTAACAGAGAAAAGGATGAAGCAAGAAAAGAGGATGCAGTAATGTGTTCAAAGACAACTTCTGCCAAGGGTGACTGAGACCCTCAAAGCCTGGACAGACAAGTGTCTAAAACAAAGCCTCACAAACACTCTGGCTGTGGGTGGCTCCTCTGGCAAACACTCAGACCCTGAGCAGAGGCTACTGCTCTGAAGGGTGCAGGATGATGGGCAAAACCAGAACCAGCATCCACAGGGAAAATGGAAATCAGGCTTAGAATTGAGGGAAAAGCCAAGGCTGCAGTGATGGGAAATGAAACAGCCGGGCCAGAGGGAGGCTCCAGGCACAGAAGGAGTGCAGGGTGCTGAGCCCTGTGCAGAGATTGGCAGCTTGGCATTGCCCAGACTTCCCATTTACCCATACAGCAAAGGCAGAAGTCACTGGCTTCATGAGAGTCTTCCCAAACGTATTGATTGACACACAGTTGTGTGCAGCAGCAATATGCACACAGCAACATTGGTGCACTGGAACCAGAACTAGGACCTCCTTGCATTTTTAATTAGTGATTTAAAACTTCTGGAAAGAAGTTGTTTGTCTTTTCTCCATTTAACAGAGAAAACAGAGACAGAGACTTGAAAATATTTGACTGATGATCGAGGTAGATTTGTAACAGAGACTTCTTCAAGGCTAGTGCAATGCTGTGGGACACACATTCCAGGGAGATTCAGCTGTGATTCAAACGGTTGGATGCACCAACAGCTAATATTAGTGAAGTGTTTCAAGATCATCCTGTTTTTTTTTGGTTTGTTTTTTTTTTCATGGCCTCCAAATTTATGCAGCATCACTTCATTGGGGCCCAGGTAGAAAATTTAAAGTTTGTTAATGGGCGAACAATAGTGAAAATTTATTCTGTCTTTTCACAAATATAATTAAGATGGAAGCAAGGCTTGACACAGAAATTGTCCACCAAAGGACAGAGATGAAACTGAAAACAGCTGGAGTACTATTTTTCATGCTGGGTGACAATGCAATCTGTAAGTGAAAGAAAAGGGAAATACTGAGTGTGACTGGGTGTGGTTTCTAAGGGAAAGCAGCCTCCCACAGGGATTTGCAGTTATTGCACAAAGACAACATCGACACCATGGCTAAAACCTCCAGAAATGCAGGACCAGGGACCAACCTGCACATTCCTCTGCTGAACTTCAGCCACGCTCTGCATCCACAACAGCTCTTTCACAGCTGTGATCCCACCATGGACTGCGGACACACAGACATCTTTAGCTGTGGAGCTTCGTCATTCTTCTCAAGGTACTTACTCAAATGTGAATCCCTTTGAAAAGATTTGAGGGGCTGTGCTTTCAGTCTGAGATTAATCCTATAAACCATTTGAAAGGCAGGGAATTACCAGTTTTCTCTCTTGAGAAGAGACCCAGGAGATGGATGGCTGTGTCTTGCAAGATGCCACACTGCACTCGTGTCAGGCAGGGAAGTTTCACAAGTCATTAATCCAGCCAGCTGGTGGGAGAGACTCTAAGAGACAACATAAACTGGCTGGGAAGATAAATATCAACAAAGCCCTTTTATTTGGAGACTGAACATACTTTTTCAACTGCCTATTCACTTTGTGGGTAATATGACATCATAAGTTTGTGCAACAATGCTAAGATATAGCAAAGAATAACCTTTTGAGAGGGCAACAGAAAATTGCCATTGTATCAGAAATTGAGCAAATAACAAAATCTTCGATGTGCAAATAATCAGTCATCTGGTAGCAGGTGTAATTCTGCCATCATTAACATGATTTCTGCTGAACTGGAGGGGTCAAAATATACATTGCTGTGAAAAATAACCAGTCTGAGTTAAGACATTACTGAGTGCCATTCAAAATTCAGTTATTAAAATACAGTCCTTACTTGCATAGCATGATGACTTTTGCAGACTTGAAGATTCAAAGAGATATGAAAAAATGTTGGGAAAACACACAGTCAAGTGCCATGCAGTGCTTTGAAATAGCTTTGGAATGCAAGCCACCAACCAAACTACATGAAACCACCGAGCTCCTTCATGTCAGGACATGAGGAAGCTGCAAATTGTGGTAAAAGCATTATTTTAGTCACTGTAATCACACACTGAGAGAAAAGGACATGGATATCTCTTTCTAGAGTTGTCTTCAGAGAAGAAATGGAAATGAAAACATTACCTGTGGATCCCCAGACTGGAGCTGCCTGGACTCTGCAGAGTATAAAGGAGAAGGAGCCAGTCACTCCGAGAGAAGAGAGCCCACGATTTGCAGGATGGAGGGTGGATTTCCCTAAGCTGACCCTGCATTCTCCAGGTGCCTGCCTTCAGCTTCCTCTAGGTTTGAGCTGGGTTTAGATTTGGCTTCTGTTTCTGGTGATGAGTGTAGCAGGAGGTCACAGGTGGCTGGGTGGTCCTGCCTGGGATGTCAGACACATCCCCACTTACCTTCTGCTCCCAAGCAGGAGGGAGAAGTCTGCCAGGGAGCTTTTATTGCAACGTGCTGGGCTGCCAGGGTGCTCTCCCCGTGCCAGGGGTGATGATTTCCAGCAGCTGGTGCCAGCTGTGGGTGGAATGTGCCCTAAGGAAGCTCCAAGTCCCAATCCCAGGGCTGAGCACAGGCAGGGAGTGAGGGAGGCTCCAGCTCAGAGCCCAGCTTGTCCTGCAGGGCCAGCTCTGGGACAGGAGCTGGAAATGACACTGGGCTGTCCCACTAGGACAGCATTTCCAGAGGCTGATACCACCAAGCACCAGTGTGGAAATCAACTTCCCTGCCTTGGGAGCGAGGGAGAGGGTAAGGAGGTGTTTTAGGAGGAAAATGTGCTCACGTGCCCGGGGGTTTTGGCAAACTTGAAAGCCTCACTTCAGCAGCAAAAAGAAAACACAACTCTGCCCACGTGGAGCTCCCCACTGTGGATGGAGCTGTCAAAATACTTCCCACAGCTGAGACCTGGAGGACAGGCAAACACTGTTGCTGCTGAGACCATTCCTGGAACAAATAATGTGCTGTGTTTTGCAGTTACAGTAATTACAAACATCAAACATCCTGCAAACATCTTGCATTTCTTTTCCTTCCGCAGATTTTCCAAACTGTAAATGTCGAATAAGCAGATAACTCCTCAGATGTAAATCTGGGAGCTTTGTTGGCATCTGTTTGTAGTTTTACAAGGATAAGTTCGTTTATGGAGGCTGAAGAGGAGATGAATGTGGAGGGAAAGCTGGGTAAATCTGCAACTGATGCTTTTCCTCAGCACAGAACGGATGGAACAAAGGATGTTCTGTCATTGTGGTCAGAGGCTTTTTGATTGCTGGGTTTGGAGCATGGATAAGGGCTACAGCCAGACAAAATTTCAGCCCTAGGATTTAGCTGCAGCCTTTGCTGTTCTGCCTTGGGTGCCATCTAGATTAATTCTAAAACTGTTTTTTCCTGCATGACACAGATCTCAGGAGCAGATTCCCTTGGGTTTTCAGTCAGTCTGTGTCCAAACAGTGTCTCCAAAATTTTGGGTGATGAGTTCAAAATATTCTTATGCCTAGTTCCAGTGGTTATTTTTGTGATTATTCAATATGAAATGTCCTCAAGTGTCAGATTTCCAGAGGGGTTAAATACTCACAACTCAAATGATTCAGTATCTCTAAAATACTGTTATAAAACCATAGGAAGATCATATTAAACCTAGAGATATTCAGCAAGACATTTCTGAGCTAACTACCCATCATGCCTTCTAATAAAGAAAGGCTTTTAGACCAACTTCAACCAAGTGTATTACCTAATTTCACAGGGAACTGAAACATTTGTCACAATGTGGAAAAAAATGGGGAGCATTTAGAGGTGAAGTTGATTTTCAGTGTGTCTGTTAAAATTTTCTTTCCCCTGATTGTTAACCTAAGAGCACTTGAGCACTGTACAGCAGTGTCCTAGCTCACTTAACACCATTTTCTCATAGGGTAGAAATTAACCCAAGCATAAGTTTAAATATTCCAAAAATAACGTAAGTACCATGATATCAGCCACTCACTGTTTTATTGAGTTTGATTCCCAGTGTCTCCAATTGTGCACCCTGGTTTTCAGGAGCAGTGGGTTTTGTCCTTGTTTCTCTGCAAGCTGTCCAGGTGTGCCCCTTGACTTCTTGCTGGGTCACCTCGAGCAGTAACTAGAAGTTTCCAACAGTTAAAACGCCATGAAATCAGATATAAATGTTTGCATCTTTAGGCGGGAATCCCCACAGCACAAATATGTTTGCACTGCTCATTTATGTTTGTGATTATGTAAGTACATGCAGAAATAGCAGGGATGTATTTGATAGAATCACAGAATGGCTTGGGCTGGAAGAAACCTTTGCCATCATCCAGTTCCACCCCCTGCCCTGGGCAGGGACATCTCCCACTGTCCCAGGGTGCTCAGAGCCCCATCCAGCCTGGCTTTGGGCACTGCCAGGGATCCAGGGGCAGCCACAGCTGCTCTAGGCACCTGCACCAGGGCCTGCCCACCCTGCCAGGGAAGAATTTCGTCCCAATATCCCATCCAAAGGCACTCCGTGTCAGTGTGAAGCTGCTCCCCCTGTCCTGTCACCCAGGCCCTTGTGAATAGTCCCTCTGCACCCTGCAGGCTCCCCTCAGGTACGGGAAGGACACAGAGCTCACCCCAAAGCTGCCTCTTCTCCAGCAGAGCTGCTCCATCCCTCGGTGCCTGCCCTGGGCTCCCCTCCTCTGCTGGGTCCTGGGCTGAGTCTCGCTGGGGGGAGCAGAGGGCACAGCCCCCTCCCTTCATATACTGGAAAGCTAAGGAAGAAAACGGATTTTGTGAATATTTTACTGCCTCATCCATCTAACACCAAGAGTTAATTTCCTGAAGTTTCCTTAATCCCAGAATTTTCCAGTCTGTTCTAGATGTTTGAAGGATTACAGCTCAGATGTCACTACTCAGAAGTTGTATCAGCACATGGGTGTTTCCCCTCTTCATTCCAGCCATGCATACTTCTATTCTTTGCATGACTGCATTTTTTCAGTAATTCTGACTGTTCTGAGGCGTCAGGTGCTTTCAGTTCCCTCATTTTAGCAACTGAAGAATTTTTTTGGACATGACGCCAGAGAATAGTCAAAAAATATTTGAATTCCCTGTCATTAAGATTTTCTTACAGGAAAAGTAAGCATAGCTGGTAAAATGCATAGAAGTAAAATTTAATTTAATTTGATTTCTTGTCATCTCCATATATTATATTTTCCTTTTCTCTTGCTGCTTCACTCCCACCTATTCTCATAATCTGCAAATTACTTTAGATTGAGATATTTCCTGTGTGTTAACTGCATTTCATTGGCTGCCAATTCAGTTCTCTGTTTCTGCACTTGCATTTGTATTTAGGAAACACGATGAAAATTAATATCATAATTGTACCATTCAAGCAAATCACATGAATTAAATCTGTGTCTAGCCAGCCAAAAATATCTGTGGTTGTCATTGGAGTGTGTATTTTTTTCCTTCTCCAGCAGCATCATAAGACAGTGTTGTGGTTTAACCCCAGCCAGCAGCTGAGTACCAGAGTGCCCCACCCCTCTGGTAGCTCTATCCCAGATGAAATCTGGGCACACAGAGGAAAAAACCTGCTTCCTGTGTTATTCCATGGCCAAGGACTCCATACAGAAACAGTAACACCCAAACTCTTTTCCTTTTTAAGCACACTTTTAACTTTCTCACAAAATATTTATTCTGATTTCCTTAAAGCTTTTACAGAACTGGGACAATGTTCATCTCGAACAAACTTCTAATCAAACAAGGCACTAAACCACGCACCTTCTTTTGTATTTGCCCAGCTGCAATACCCTTTTTTGCTAAATCTGAACATTCTTGTGCTCCAGCACCACAGGATGGCATCTCCTATTTCCTTACAGGGTCTACACTGTGCTGTAGCTTCTGCACTGATGCTTCACTGACTGGGCTCGAGCCACGCTCCTCAGTTCTGCCCAAAAGGCTCCCTGAGGGCTGCATAGGCAGCCAGGTGATCCCTCTGGCAGGATCCAGCACTTAACCACCTTGCAGGAGGCATCTGGAAGCAGTTGGCTGTGCAACTTCATCACAGAATGAGCTGCAAAGAAATTAATGAAGCACTGTTGTCATCTTCACCAGAGCAGCTGTTTGTTATCAAACAAACCCATGCCCAACCCACCAAAGCCATTAATCACTTGGCCTCTCATGTCAGACTTCCTAATGGCTTGGGCAGTCTCACATCATTTCCTGTCAAATTTGTCTCTCAAATGCAGCCAGGGTGCTTGAGAGATCAGCTGCTTGTCCCACACGCCTTTTTAATTGCAGAAACTAAGGACTTTGTGCTTCATTAAATTCAATGAGACAATGTATTGTTCTATTGCAGAATATCAAGTAAAACAGTCAGGTTAAATTTGAATTGTTCCTTGCACTGCGATCTGAGCAAGTTTCTGTCCAGGCTAATTTAGTGTTCTCAATTAGTTTGGACTGTGACTTAATTGCTGGAGTACAGACCCCTTTTATGTCAGAGGGGCCTGCTTGGATTTTTCAAAGTCTAAACTCTATGATGAGCTCAGACAAATCATAATAAACCTTTCTTCCAAGGTAGTAAACAACAACTTCATTCAATTTGATGCCACTCGAATTACATTATTAAAATAATGACAGTTTATTTGTAGGACAGGTGACTGTAGAAAGCAATGTCCATATGTTGAAGGTTAGGATTTTTCCTTTGTCAGTTGCAGAACTGACATACATAAAGTAGAAGTGACAATTTTGTGACTGTGGTTAAAAACTGTGTCTGTCACTTCTGGAATAATAATTGGAGAAGAATTAAAATTTCTAGGTAAGAAGGCTCCCCTGTGTCTAAAGAAGCACACTGGGAAGCTGTGACATTTTAACAGCTAGAAAAGAAAAGATGGCATTAATGCTTCCATAGAAGCAACCACCACCCCTCAAAAGGAAAATAATCAAACCAGCTACTTGCTTCAGTGTGATACTTCAGATATTTCATGCTGAATACTCATGACTTTTTGTGCTAGTCCAAGACCTTCTGAAGTTATTCACATTCTGCCATTAGCTTCAAAGGGAGACAAGATTTGCTTTGCAAAACAATTAAGAGCTGCAGCTATTTACAGGCAAATTAATTCATGGCAGTTTGGTTGCAACAGCTACAGAATTCAGCAAGATGAGTTAACTGTGTTAGTGAAGTGTTCTGGTAAGAGCCAAATTCACACACTTCAAATATAAGGGATAATTAACCCCTCAAAATATCCAAATTACAGGAGCATAAAATGGTCTGAGTTGGAACAGCTTTAGAAGTTCATTTGTTGGGAGGAGAGGGGAGAAGTTGAGGAGTTTGGTGCATGTTGGGAGTGGACACCTTCGACCAGCCAGGCTGCTCTGAGCTCCATCCAGCCTCATCCTAAACCCTACCAGGGATGGGGCAGCCACAGCTTCTGTGGGCAGCCTCTGCAGGGCCTCACCACCCTCACAGGGAGGAATTTCTTCCCAATATCCCATCCAAACCCACTCCCTGTCAGTGCGAAGCCATTTCCCTTGTCCTGACACTCCAGGCCCTGGTAAATAAACTCTCTCCACCTTTCCTGTAGGCTCTCGTGCGCTGTTTGGGCACTGGAAGGCCACCAAGGTCACCCCAAAGCCTTTTCCCTTCTCCAGGAGAACACCCCCAGCTGTGCCAGCCTTACCTGCCAGCAGAGCTGCTCCATCCCCTGCTCATCCTGGAGCTTCCCTGGGCTCTGCAGCAGCTCCAGCTCCTCCTGTGCTGCCCAGCCCTGCAGGGAGTTTAACAGAAGGGCAGCACCCCCTGCCCTGCTGCCCAGGGGGCTTTGCATGCAGCCCAGCACACAGAGGGGCTGGAACATGCTACTCCAAAAAGATGCCCCTGAGCAGAATGGGGGTGGGACATCTTCAGTACATCCAGCTTACACATCTACCTAATGCAGATACATTAAGACAGCGAATTTTATAAAGATATTTATTGTGCAAGAATGATTTTCATGCTCATTTACAATGAAATAATTAGTTTTAACAAATATTCATGCCATTGCTTAATTTCAACACTGAACAGAGTATTTACATTCAAGTTTACATCTTTGTTCAAGTTACATGTACAATGTTGTCAGAATTAAGCAAGAATGCATCTTCAAAGCAAAGGTTTTTGGTGTGGGGTTTGTTTTTTTTTTACAATAGAGTATCACCAACTTTCAGACTTTTACTGGAAATGACAAATTTCCTGTCTTTGCAGTACCCTTATTTCCCAGCTACAGCACTGGAAAAGAACAAAAAAAGCCTAGTGGAACCAGTGTCACACACATAAATCAGTCTCCAATTAGCCAGACATTTAAACAGGAAGGAGGCTGCAGAATAACCTCTGCACAAGCCATTTTGGGGGGACTGTTTAGGTCATCCTTGAAACAGATCCTGCCTTAAGAAAATGAATCTCAGGACAATTCATTCACAAAGTCTTAAATAACAAAAGACCTGCTTTGTCAATACTGAAATTAACATCTTGTACTAGGACCAGACACACCCTGCAACTTTTTATTGTGTTCTGGGGCTTTTTTGTCCCACCACAGGGACGCCCAGGATCACAGCATTGTGGTCTGGAAAAAAAAAAAAAAAAAACAAACAAAAAAACCAAAAACCCACAAACAAACAAACAAAAAACACCACACTCCAGCTCCCAAATATAAAAACAACAACAAAATAAGAAAAAAAAACTTTCAATGAGCAGAAATTCAAACCGTAACTTTTTGGTTCTCCTTTTTCATCTTCACACTCTACGATGCAAAGGAACTTCAGAGTCCAGCCCATGTTTTCTTGGCCTGCACACAAATCTCTCCCTTCTCCATCAAAGGTTTCCAACACAGACTTCTCAGGCACGTCCCTCCCACCCTGACCTGAGAATCAGCTCAGAGAACACTCAAACTCGGAAATGGCTCTGAATGACAAATTATCAGGGTCCCACTGAACAGTTCAAAAATGGAACAGAATTTTTCCTTCCTTCCACAGTTCCATGAGACGCCTGCTATTCTAATCCAAGTTCTCCTGTGAGTGCTTCACCTGCTGCCTGGTTTCACAGAGGCCAAGCACAGTAACAGAAGAACCAGAGCACACTGCCAGTTTGCCAGTTCGCTGCTCTGACTTACCTAAGTTGTACGACAACAAAAAAAGAGTGATTGTCCTGGATTTTGGCTGTGAATGTCATGGAAAGATACTGACTTTGAAGATGCAAACCTAAAGATTCCCACATTTTAAATAACCGTTATATGCAGCAGTGACTACTTCACTTGCTGTGCCTTCATGTTGTGACATCTCCTGCAGAACTCGTGTGCTGAGGAGCAGCTGCAGAAGGCTGCACTGGCAGCATCTCCAGCTCAGACTCACGGACAAAGATGACAGCATCACCACTGACATTGATCAAGCACTGAGCCTGGGAAAATGACAACACCCAGTTACCAAACATTCAGCAATCATATCTTTTATGTTTACTTATATCTGCTAAACAGAACTACACAGACAAATCAACAGGGACTGGAAGAAGGACAAATTATTAGAATTTATTGGCGAGGCGACCTGTGCTGTTTTCTTTTCCATCCGTTCACTTGTGTGCTACCAGACGTGCAGATGGATTTCACCACAGTGAAGTACATGGATATCTGTACCTACTTTGCTTACTGTATTGAACATATTTAATTTACTGAATATTCTGCTATTGTCCTCACAAATCAAGGTTTGTCCCTTTATGTACAAAATGGAGCATATCCATCTCCATCTGCAACTCCAGGTATTTTAACATGGAAATCCTACACTCCAAATCGTAATCCAACATCAGAAATACCAAGTAAATTCTGCACTAATGTGCAACTGTTTCCTGCAATTTACTTCATTCTAGCAAGCTTGGTGTTATGCATCTGGATTTTTATGAAGCATCCTCCTAATTTTGTGTTAATACAAGAACACTCTTGGATTCTTCTAACATTATGCAAAATATCAAGAAATGTTGTGCAGCTATGGCAGTACAACACTGCTGTTTTTTAAAGACATAAAATGAGTATTTGTATCATACTAACCCCAAGAGCACTTGACATTTCACATCCCAGTGTACCTGATTTTTGTTTGGGTTCTCCATGAAAACACACTGCTTCATTATGTATGACACAACTGCATTCCCTCCCAGAGCTGCAACATGGGCTCTCACCATGGCAAACACTTCAGCAATAAAAGCGTGCAGGAAGCCACTGACACCACCCTCCTAGAATGGAAAAAATACACATTAGAGATGATATTAGGTCTAGCTACAAGATGCAGAGTACTTCTCTTACATATTTATCAGCTGAAAAATCCCGTGAATCCTAAATGGTGCGGAGAAGTTAAAAGCCACTCGCTGTTTGAAGGGTCATAGTTACAAATGAGATGGACAGAGACCATTCAAGGGGCCTAGAGTGACAGGACAAGATGGAATTGCCTCAAAATGACAGGTACAGACGGGATATTGGGGATTAGGAATTGTTCCCTGTGAGTGGTGAGGCCTTGGCACAGGTGCCCAGAGCAGCTGTGGCTGCCCCTGGATCCCAGGCAGTGCCCCAGGCCAGGCTGGACAGGGCTTGGAGCAGCCTGGGACAGTGGGAGGTGTCCCTGCCATGGCAGGGGGGTGGAACAAGAGTTTTAAGGTCCCTTCAAATCCAAACCATTCTAAGGTTCTATGAAATTCTTGGAAATTCCCAGGAAGGAGTGACATTACCTTTGATCACTGCAACTTCATGACTGTCATTGGTTCTCAACACTCACTGAAGACATGATCCCTCAAAATAATAATTAAGCAGAGACTTGAGCTGCTCAAGCTGTTAATTTTTTTATTTTCCCCCTTGAAGCACAAAGGAACTTCTAGCCATCCCTTTTTTTTTTCTGACTTGATGGTGCTTGTGGGGCATTTTTACTTCTTTGGTGCAAAACTGAAGAATTTAAATTGATGTCAAAGGAGAAGGAAAACAACAAAGTATGGATTTTCCAGGCAACCAACCAAAGAAATAAAAATCCACAAAAATGCTGAGAAAAGAAACTGATCCAAGCAGAGCTCACTGTTGGTTCAAAATACATACAAAATTTCCAACTTCAGGTGAAAGGCAAGACCACCAGACTTCCCCCATGACTCTGTGTGTGTGCCACTGGAGACAATGGAAGAGGCAGACAGAATAAGAGACTGAACTAAGCTGAATTTAAGGGCTGTGCTCATTCCTAGAAGTAACATGTGCCCTGAACAGACTCATAAAGGCATAAAAAAACTGTATCTTGGATGAAAATTTATAAACAAAAAGGACAGGTATAATTTTATCAAACCCAGCATAAGGCTGAAATCAAGTCAGCTGCAGCAAGAAATCAAAATGCAATACAAGTTCATAATTTTCATGGAATTTTGATTTTGTCCAAGTCTTTCAAAGGTACAGCAACTGATGGGAAAAAAATATTAATTACAAACCTAATGCAACATTGGATGACCAGAGGTAACAAAATGATTGTAAAACACCCACCTGTAAACAGTAGAGCCTCAGAACAATGGATTAATCTGACTTGAAATTAGCATTAATGTGTCATTCTATCATTAATGTTTTATTCTGGTATATACTTCACCACTACCACAGGCAAAACATAAAGCAATACAGATAAAAATGCTGGTTATTACTTCCTTGTAGGACCTGAACCACACTGCTGGAGTTGGATCTAATGACTGCTCTGTTCTGACTCCATTGTAACTCAAGGCAATCCTGTAGTAAGAGTAGTTTGTGACTTAGCCTATGTAGGTGAAATAATTTAAACCAGCTCCCCTAGGTGCTGGAAAGAGCACAGTGACAGCATCCCAGGGACTGTGCAACATTCCAGCTCCAGGAAGGATCTCAATCACACACTTGAGTGACCTTTCCTTGCTGGGATCTATCAGAGACCAAAGCTCATCAGCTGCTGAATTTGTACCTACAGAATCTGCACTTAGTCCAGGAATGTCCTGGAACCATTTCCGTGCTCTGACTTCCCTTTGAAAACACTGTCCTTTTCACACATGGATTTCTCAAGTTAAAAGGGGAAGTTAAAAGTAACTTGCAAGATCCAAACAAAATGTTTGTCTGAGCCAAGTATCTCTAGAGAGTTCACAGCCCATTTTCAGGAAGACTGATCATTTTTATTAACATCTGTTCTATAATTTCAGCGATGTGTAATTAGGAAAAAGCAGCAAACTTCAGCACTGACAAACCAGGCAAGATGTACACTCTTTCTGTGGCCAAAAGCAAAGATACAGCTACTTCCCAAAAGGACAGGAAGATTATAAGGAACATGGCTTGCATTTTGACATGCTGAGAGGATTACTTGTTTTCCCAGTGCAGACTGGAGATCAAGGTTTGAACATCACTGTGCAGTCATGGACTCATGGTGTAATTTTTGATGCTCAACACACCAAGTTTTGTTACAGAGAATGCACAGAATGTAAAGTTAAAAATCAGCATAACATTATTTATGATATGGGCAATGTTATATTAACCAAAGAATTAACCAAATACATGGTGAAACAAATACACTGTGAACATTCCTCACTGAGCTTGCTAAACAAGAGAAGAAGAGATGATTTCTTTTTTCTTTAGCATTTAATTTGGGTTCAAATGATCCCAACTTCTGCCAACACAATGGTGACAATGCTCAGACACATTTTTTCCACATAGTTCTGTTTTAGAACTCACTGCTTTAGTGTTCTATCCAATTTAACAGCAATGGCAATTGTTGGCTAACCCTTTCCTAACAGTGCCAAGCACAAAACTGCTTTGTGTGCTCTGTGACAAGACCAGCACCAAGGAACTTGCTCTGCACTCAGCACCTTCCCACAAGTGACAACAAGTGACTAAAATTCTACTCCCTGGCTGTGCCACACTCAATTCAAACATCTGATTCTTACAATGAACAAAAATTGTTCCCTGACGTAAAAGGAATCTCAGCCACGCAGCTCACCTCACGCAAAGAAGTGGTTTCTCGTATAAAAAACATGTTGATTATCCCAAGGTATTTGGTTATTTTCGCCCCAGGGAGAAAGGAAAGAGGTGTCATCTTAACAACTGAGACAGTGGAATTGGTGCACGATGGGACAGAACGGTGCCGTAAGTATCCCTCAGCCAATGGACTTGCTTTTTCAAGGGAAGTCGCTGAAAAATGGGAAAAAAACAGGAGAAAATAACTATCAAGATCCATCATTGTTCCTCAAAACACAAAAACTCTTCTTTATGGTTTTCCACATAGCTTGGTGACAACATTCAGCTGCCTGTGATGCTCAGCCATATACATGAGAAAGGAAATCATCATGCAAAGCATGCAGAAGGAGACAAGAAGCTGAAATGGCATTTATTGGAAAGAGTGGCATTCCTGCGAAAGGAAAACATCGAGGCGAGCAGCTGCACATACAACCATCAGTTATAATGTGAAGATAAAGGAAAAAGTGCCAACATTTTGAAACATGTATTCTGCTGGAAGAACAAATTATAGGAAGTGTGAAAGTTGTTGTGTTTCCCCAGTGCAGCATTTTCCATTAAAACAGGTATTAATCTCTGCTAATTTAAGCAAGATAGTCAGACCTGTGGCCAAAGAACTACTGAAAACCAACTCACCACTTGCTAATTTAGTGATCATTGCCTTGACTGTCCCCTTGGTGATTGCTTCCTGTTTCTCACCCCCAATTTTCCAAGATCATACATACACCTACATCCATGCAGTGGATGTTATACAATTAGTAGGCGTACACATGAAGGGAGAACTAATTACAGCAAGACTTCATTTTGCTTTTTACGCTACAGTTCATTGACCCTAGTGAGGTTACAGAACAATGTCAGCAGTTTTCACCCTTGGGAATTCATCCCACATGTGACCTGCAATGCTCCTGCTGGGCAGGGCACTCAGTCACTAAGTCACCACTGGGAAATCAGAGATATGTCTCAGATTATCAGAACGTGGTAGAAACAGCCGCCTACTTGTCTTAATTGATCCGCGCCTTATGGTCTGAGCTTTCAGTTTAATGAGCTCTATCCAGCTGTTGCATCTGTCTGCAAAGGAACTGTAATCAACTGACGTTGCTGGAAACACAGACAGAAAAACAAAAGAAAAAAAAACAGAAAAAAAATATATGGATGATGTCTCTTGCTCATTGCAGTGCTCCTTTTTGAGGAAGCAATGATTCCTATCTGAGAGAGAACAACCATCCGTTCCAGGCCTGTCTAAAAGGAAAAGTTACAGGACAGGTTTGGACTCATCCAAACCAAAGTACCGATTTCTGGTGATGTCCCAGCTCTGAACCAACTGCCTGAGTGGGACTTCAGCACTGAAAAAACATGCAAATACAGTAATTAAGGACTTATGCTCAATTTTTTTTTTTATAATCTCAATTTAGGCTGTAAGTTGTGGCTTTTTAAACTTTATTTAAGCCTTTTTTAATTTTCATTTTCATTGCTTTTTCTTCCTTACAAAGAGCTGCTGATCAGGATTTAAATTTCCCAACTGTCTTTATCAATGATAACTAACCTACAGAGTGGAAAAAAAAAAAGCTTTGGTGATGAGGATAAGAGTCACAAACTGAAACAACACCTCTGTTTTATACACAAATGAATCTTCCTTCCAGAACAGTCTTGCTTGCCCCAACACCCCACCCATTATCATTAAAATCAAAAGTAAGAGTTGTTTCTGCTATGACTTTTGGTATTAGTTGCAGGGGTGTTTGCATTTCTTTAAAAAAAAGGCGGGGGGGGGGGGTTGCAAACACCGTTTCTTCATTATCCCGAAGAAACGGGAGGAACACATGCTAACTTCAAATTAACACAGGCAAAACAGCTCTCTTCCCAGGGACTCATTTTCTGTCAGATAAACTTCTATCAACGTACCTGACAGAGAGGCTGTTATTATTAACAAATCTAACTTTTATAATGAAAAGTCACATCAAAATATTAGGATCTCATTAAGCCACACCAGAGCATGCACTCTCAGTTAAGTAGTAAACACTTCCTGGAGTAAGACACATCCAAAAAGAGTATACCAATATCCCAAGAATGCTCATTCTGTTCTGGCAGATGGCTAAATTAAGGAAACTCACCTCTCTGAGCAGCAGGAATACCTGTGTGGGAGCTTGCACCCTCCAGGACTTCTAATAAAACAAAATTAATTGCGTTCAGATCATCTATTAAGCAGAGTTACAGGACAACAGCTTCCAAGCAAGATGGGAGGGACTATTTAGGAGGGCCTGCAGTGACAGCACAAGGGGAATGGCTTCACACTGACCGAGGAGGTTTGGATGGGATACTGTGGAAGCCCTGGAGCAGCCTGGGACAGTGGAAGGTGTCCCTGCCACGGCAGGGGTTGGAAAGAGATGATCTTTAAGGTCCCTTCCAACCCAAACTACTCCACAATTCTCTGACCCTTGTAAAAGATTTTAGAGTCAAGTGTGAAAAAAACCCACCCCCTATATAGTATACTGTGTACTTTGATAACAGAGTTAGTATAAATAATTCACTTTACTAAATCTACCTTGCAATTTTAATATATTTATTCATCAAAGGGCACTACTGTATAAGACTGTAAACCAATATTTTTAAAAAAACAATCCTACAGAAAAGTAAAAATATATTAAATAACCTGCTAATTAAATGTAACTACAATAAGGTTGTGAAGAAATGACAGATGGAATGATTTTCTGGTTGAACTACTCTGCCTACAGCAGGATATGGAATGTGGAGAACACCAGGAAAAGGGGAACGTGGGAACAGGCTGCCCTCCACTGGTCAGTGCCCAGCACACAGGGAGCACAGGCCAGGAAGGGGTACAGAGACACCAGCAGAAATTGCTGGACAGCTTCTCTTTTTGAAAATAAAACATGTAGCAAATTAAAAGTTAAGCATTAAAAAAAAAAACCAGTAAGAATATTTTTGCTGAAATTAATCTGGCCTCTGAAAATACAAGTAAGTGTGGAAGGCACCCTTCTTTACACAACTGATCTAACAGGCAAAAAAGGGAACTCAAACATTTACAGTAATTCCCAGATATTTAATTTCCTCTCAGTAACCATTTTGGCAGATAATCCAACAAGGGGGAAGGAGTTAAAGACAGCTGATTTCAATTACTTGAATTTTTAATGCAGTTATAGAAGAACTGTGACAACCACTCTTGAAATGCAGCTCTATCTCAGGTAAAATAAAGCAGCTGTTTAACAGCTACAGTGTGCTGCACTGTACAGATTATTTACTATACAAGCTTAGGCTCCTTTCACTTAAAGGAAATTTGCATGCATCCAGTATCTGGCAGGTAAAGTATTTCCCATCACGAGAACAATGAGATTAATTCTGTGAGGCTGAGAAAACATGGAGGTACTTTATATGGACCATTTCCAGTATGTGACAAGCCTAATTATTAGGTAATTGATAGTTATGTCAGATGACACCCAACACCCAGTGGTTTGCAGCATCTTCCATATTCTAAATGCAAAGACATGAAATATAGACAGAATGATCAGCCAAACCATCTTCTGTGACTCTCAAAAAATTTGACAACAGGAGCAAATATACCCATTATGCTTAGGCAGCAAAGCACATTTAAAGCCTGTGAAAGTACAGATATTTTAAAGCTTCTACAACTATGAAAGAGCAGAACTCAAAATCCATAAAAAACAACAGTTTAATATTCTTCTTCTTAACTGACCTTTAGCTGGAGAGAATGGTTGAGAAGAAAGGGGATCAGAGCAAAGTTCCAGGGGAAATTGTAGCTGTTCTTCATTGTCTGTAGATGCTTCAACATAGAAAATATGGCCAACTGATAATTAACCCCCAAAATAAGATTTGCCAGTAATTAAAAGCACAGTCAATTTAGTCAGGTCTGACTTGAACAGGTATTTTCAGCATCAAGTGCATCAAGTGATGCAGTTCTGCAGAAACAGGTGTGTGACAACAAATAACAAATCCAGCTGCAACACTGAACAGAGCCTGTTTCCACTGAACAGCATTTGAAGTTTTTAGGAGAAAAATTAAGTCCATTCATGTGTTTTTATTTGGATTCTGCAGTTGGATCTACGTCAGCTATTATAATAAAAATTATCACTTATTTCACATGAAAGAAAACAGATCACTGTATGAAGAAGTCAGCTATAACTAATGTTTTAGAAACATATGGCTTTGTTCCATCTAATTCCATTCTGAAGAACTGGGTATCCTGAGTTCTGTCTGAATTCCAGACTGCACACATGCATTTCCAGCATAAGATGGTACTTCATTAGCAAGGTGACATATGCAGACCCCAGCAGTCTCCTCCATCACCCTCCACGTGCTTCACTGAGCCCCAAAACTGTTACTGATCTGCTTAAGGGTTTTCAGAAGGTTGGGTTTTTTTTAAATTTTATCATTTATTTTTTACCTTCTTCATGTATAGACAAAATTTCTACTTATAAAAACTACTTCAAAGTAGGTAGAATAAGAAAGTACGACAGAATTGTTGATTATGTAAAATAAATATGTAATACTTGATAAGTAAGCCAACCTGCTGCAGGTCAAGTACATGAGAACTCTAAAAAACCTCTATGAGTTGAAAGAACCTCCCTGAAAAATATGTATATTTGAACTTGATCATCCTTTTGAGTCCCTTTCAACTCAGAATATTCTGTGGTCTGTGACCTGTACATGTAACTCAAATTAAAATCCAGACTCATCAGGCACTGGAGATAAAAAAGGAAAGATGCCTCACAACATTTACCTCTTTGCTGTGATTTTTCTGTAGGTGCTTTGTTGGCTTGTAGCGCTTGGTTTTTGTCATATGTAATGGCAACAGCTGTGACTGCAATCTGCAAAATCAGAAATATTTGGTATATTAGGTAAGTTGATCTCTTGTGCAATCTGAAAAATAATTTTGCAAACAAGCAGTTCTGTGCATAGAAACATAATAGGGAAAAAACCATCCAAGAATTCACCAGCCAGAGCAGTAAATCAAACCCTAGCCCAGCTTACCCTGAGCAGCAAACATTAACTAGGGTTATGCCTATCAGCTGGAAGTTAAAGGCAGCAATTCCCTTACCTGGACCAGCTCATCCTCTGGCAGAGCCACTGTGAAGTTCACATGGCAAAGGCAGCAAGGAACCATGGACCGCAGTTTAAAATACAAACTCTGTTCAAGACAGGAAAGCATTTTGTGTCACTCAGGGAAAAAAACGTGGTTTGTTTCAGAGAAATTAAGGATCAAAACTCTTTTCATAGTAGAAGTCGTCTAATGATAATTTTTTCTTGAAGAAGAATTACACATGTGAAAAGTCAGGACAGAATGCCATTTACTGTGGAGCTATCTTTCTATTTCTAGAGTATACTGCTAGTCAAAGGACTCCTTCAGGTCCCACAAGCTCTGGAATTCCCCAATATACTAAAAAAGGCTAAACCTATCTTCACAGAAACTCACAAGCTAATTACAGACACTTTGCAGTCTACTTTCAAAATCATGAGGCACATGTTATTTTCAGTATAGCTGAATTTTACTTGGCTCCCGTTTGAACACTTTAAAAAGTATTTGAAATAAGATTCTTACCTTCAACAGATTCTCACAGAGATCATTAAAGTTCTTATTGAGTGTTTGATTTGTTGGGTTAATGTTGCTTAATCTGGACACTCTAACTGCTGTGAACATCTGAATCAGAAACAAACATGGGATTTTTTGCCAACATATGCAAATATATTTTATCCAGTGTCTTAAACCCAAATTCATAAAGAAGGAAAATAATGTAAAGTATGTTAACATATATGTTCAATAAGTAACAAAATAAGTTAGCTAAGCAACACAGTCAATAATTTGTACCCTTTAAGGGGCTTCAAACCTAGCCAAACTTTTCAAAAAGCCAAAACCTTGAAGTTCAAATTTACTGTAATTACTTTCATATATCTGTATTAGATTATTTTGTTACATGACAGCATTAAATAAACCAACAAAAGCCCAGGTTCTCATACCTTATTGTTCTTACCAAAATACTACTTTTATTTCTGTCACAAGGGTGTCCTTTGACTTTAGCTTTCAAAACATACATTTAAATTACTACAGCATATTTCAACAAAATTTAGCAAAAAAGTTTCAATTTTGAATAACCTTACTTGAATTTCTGGTGTCCAGTTATTTATACCAGGCATAATTTCTGTGTTGCAACTGTAGAAACCTGTGAAGAAAATAACCGGTAAAAAAAAAAATCTATTGTATACACTGCAATATAAAAATACCTGTAAAGGAAACATATGTGACAAGGCTTTGCAAGTATTTTCCTTCATGTGGTTTTGAATATTGAATAATACACCAGAAGTGAGATCAACATTCAATAAACAAATACAGAATCCTTGTAGGAGTTGCCAACACCCCAAATCCACAACTGCTCCACCTATTTCTATTAGATAAATTATTCACATATGAGGAAATTTTTTGAAAAGGTGTGATTTGAAAAGCTAAAAAGCCAGCCTTTAATAGAGAGCACAGAAAAGGCTGTAAAGGAACTACCATACTGATTGCAAATGAAAAACTAATTATAATGACTAAACAGCAGAGCAAAATAAGTTATTACCAGCAAGCCAGTGATTCTGAAATCCTGAAGAAACAGTTAAATAGGCAGAAAAGAGGCCAATCTGGTAGGGCCTACATAAAAGCACAAAATGAGCTAGAAAAGAGGTTGTGTAGCAGCTTGCAGAGGTTATAAATATTAACGGACTGTCTTTCAGAACATCAAAAGCAGAAATTCCGTTGAAGAATCAAATAAAATTTAGAAAAGATACGCAGAAATAATAACATGAGAGCAGAAAACATAGTACAGCTTTCCACAATAACAGAAAACCAGTCCCTTGTTTATTTGTCTCGAACAAGTGTCTGAAGGAGATATTGAACAAAAAGGCAAATGAAAGATTCCAATAAAGCACAGAAGAGGCAGAAGATCACACAGCTCATTGACACTGAGGTCCCACTGCCAGAGAGCAGTGTTTAATCTCCAGTCCTGAGGTGCTAAGTGCTTTCCTGGCTGCAGTGTGCTGCTGCTGCTGCCAGCCCAGCAGCAGCCATGCCCAGCAGCTCTCAGCAAGCACAAAGGCACCTGACCTGTCCCACCCACCTGGGCCATCAGCAGGTATTTGGGAAGGTCCTTCAGCAAGCTCTCCTAACAAGCTGACCATGCAGCATCAGCCAATGCAATGTAAATGTAGGACTAGGAAAAGAGGGACAGAACTGCTCCGTTTTCACAGCAAAGAGATCTGTACGTTTGGATTTTGTGCTTCAACATATTCCTAACTTACAAGCAGAAGAGGATAAAACAAGAAGATGAAGATGATGGCTGATGGCCTTAATTTAGGGCAATAAAATCAACTGCAGCAGAATTGGATAATCAGTGAGGAATAAAGGTGATAGTAATAGATAACTACAAGGATGGTTCTGAGCCTGACACAACAATATTAACACTGGTATCAGTTACTAGGAAGGAAACCAAGACTTTCTCAGAAGAAACACAGTGATAAGAGGAAGGAAATTCACAGTGACAAGAGAAAGGACAAGGACAAATCAAATATCCAGAGCAATTTCTATATAATGGACAACTACCTTTCCTCTTATCCAGATACAGCAGTTCTGTTGGGGAAGGTATGGCATATCTATTCAACAATAAATAGCATAAAGACAACTGATACCAGGCAAAAATTAGTTCTGTATTCAACTTTCATTAACCTGAGACCTACAAATCTGTAATTCAGTCTAAAAATCTTCAGAAACAATACTATTGTCAGGTCTCTTGGAACTTTTAAAACAATTTTTAATAAAACTAGTCATATTTTGTCATTTTGCAGAAAAATATGGTTGTAACTATACCAGAAGGTGGTGGAACATCTGTCAGTAAAGAATGTACATCTTCCATTGCATCTGTGTCATCAATCTGCAAAAAGGGAATAATTAAGAAAATCATGTTGCTGTGCCAGTAAGAAGTTTCCAAAAGAAATCAAATAACCTCCATTCCATTCACCCCTTAACACCATTCTTTCAGATCAGATGAGAGCCCTGCCACGTTCTGTAAATACTTCTGGTGTGTCTTTACATTCATCCTGTCTTATTGCCCTGCAAGAGATCCACATTTACCTCTAACTCCCAACATTTTCTTATCAAGTGTTTTAGAAATGGTTTATAAATTAACTCCAGTATTGAAGGGTTTTCTGTCAAATAATGTGTCTCCTTCTCCCTCCCCATGTAAAAGGGGTTATCTTTTTTCCCTTCAAAAAACAACCCAAAAACTAAACAAAACTAACCCAGATATCTTTACCTCTCATAACTGCCTTCTCAGCCTCTTTTAGCACATCCTCATCACAATGAAATTTTTACTACTTTTTCTTATATAGTCCCAGTGAACAATGATTTTACTCTTGAAAGCTTTGTCAGGAGTTTAACTAAATTTTCTGGAATATTGTTTATGATACCCACTTAATCATAAACCCAACTTCTCAAATACAACAGTAAATTATTCCACAGATAAAAAGTAATTTTTTCCTATTAATGCCTTACAAAATGCTCATTTTTTTTACAAAACTATTCAACCCTTTCTGCAAAAGCACAAACCAATCTAAATTTACTATCCCAAACGCTCCCAACTTGTTATCTTTCAGCTCTCCTTTTGTATCTGTTTTCACACAAACTCCTGTTATAGTGCTCCCTCGTTCTTCCTATCTACCTTTCTTACAGATTATTTTCTATTCAGATGGTGACTTGTGAAGATTAACAAAGCCTTAGATGTACCTTAGCCTGCAATTACAGGCTGTATTTTGAAGTAGGTTTTAGTCAGTGATAGGTATTTGTACGGTCTCTGTCTACAGGATGATCAAACTCCAGCACTTTTTTAACACTTGCTGGAGCATTAAAGACTTCAGAGCAGACAATGTTCAATCTTGCCTTTGAATTTCAGTGAATAGAGAGGTAACAGAAATCTATGTCCTTTATTTATCTGTAGGTGTTGTTCTTTCTGGATGCAGCTGTAGAAAGAACTGGAAGGTATTGTCACAAGTTGTGTATTCTTAAATTGTGAAAAGCAATAGCTGAAATTCAGAAAATCTTCTTTTTTGTGCTCTCTTGGCATATGCAGTTTTTTGAACGCTTTCAATAGAACCCATTCTGGAAGCTAGTAATTCTGAATGTTCACCTACAACAGTAAGAGCTTTGAAACAGGAAGAAAATACAATCTTTTTATTTGCTAAATATAAAGTGTGGCAACACAGAACCTCAGTGTTTATAAAAATAGATATTGAGTTTTTGATTAGTCTGATCTGCTGCTTGAAGCAAGCAGGACGACCTTTCTTAACAGCTTTTAATTATTATTATCTAGAGATTGCTACATATTCATCAACAGCAGGGCAATCTTTTTTCAGATAGTTTGTAGACTGCACTGTGCTTTAAGCAAATAGAGTAAGAAAAAGAGAGACAAAGCAAAATCTAATACTTCACTTTTTCTATTTATACAAAAGGGAAAAAATCATACACAATTTAGGAACTGTTCTTGGAGATGAGTAAGTTTTTTTAATATATATTTCAGGAGAAGAAAAGTATGAACATGAGTAGTGAAAATGTTTATCACCTCCAAGACAAAAGCATCCTTCTTCCCATGTGAAAGGTCAAGCTCTGTAACTTCATCAGAGCTTTCTGACTGCGATCTCAACAGCCTGGAACGTTGTCTTGGCTCTGGAATGGGAGACCCAATAATTTCTTCAGGTAACTCCTAAAAAGAATGTAAGAATTAAGAGATGTTCTGCCCAGCTTAAAAAAAAATTCAGCTCTCCACAAGTTGTTAACAATTCTAAGAATCAGACCATTCTGAAAATCATTCTACTGAGAAATATATCTAAATAATACCAAGCTGATTTGGCTATGTGGCAAAGGGATCTGAAAATTCCAGCATCTTTCCAAAACCCAGTGAAAGAAGTCTGTATCTCTATTTGTAAATAAACTTATGTTCTGAATGACTCACTAAGAAACAATGGATATACAGTGCATATATTGAATCAGAATGCTTTATTTCTAAAACTAAAAAAAAATATACTTACTGGAGGATTAATCTCATAAAGTTCCTTGTTCTTTGCTATTGTATCATTTATTTTCTTTTGCATATGGGATATGTGCTGCTCATAGGTGCCATCATTTGGAGTCTTCCCAGCAATCTGAATACCTCCAGGTGTTGGCAAAGCTGCTAAATACACACCTGTTGCAGACTTTTAAAAAAGTCACAAAGAAAAAGACAAGTATATAAGCATGAATTCCTAATATTTTCATATAAAGCTTTCCATAATGCTTATGCTAAAACAGCACTGTAACATGCAAATTACAGCAGCATCTCTTGCAAATAAATAAATGGATCTCTCTCTTCTGCTCACTTATGAAAAAACTTGACTGATCTTTTAGAAAACTCCCTCTTTTTCATTTTTCATGGTGGAACTCTGAAACTTACCTAAAAATTCCAAACAAACTAAAAATGAAAGCCTCTGCTCCAGTATGTTTGGCATAAGCAAATAGTTTTTTAGAGTTTTTGAAGGTCTATAAAATTTGGCCAAACCATTTACTGCATCAGTGAGGTTGTAACAACCCTATTTCTATTTACAGGAAACAGATCATGAAAGACAAATGAAGACGCCAGACAGAATTACCCTGATGCAGGAAGCAGCAGTATATTTTACTATTCTAATCTAGCATGAAAAAATGGGGTTAGAAAATACTGTTAATGAACACTTCCTGACTTTCTCAAATCTATCATTTATTTCTTCAGTTCCATCAAAGAAGAGGCAACAGAACCTCCCCATGTTGCCAAATAACCAAAAGATTTACTGACAGGCTTAACTGACCTTATTTGTCATGGAACTGCAATTCAATTTGAAGAACAGGGATCTCTTTGACAGGACCTTTTACAGAATACCATAATTTTTCTACAATTTGTGCCAATTAACTGTTTGAAATGTCTTTTCCTCTCATCCCCTTTTTAATCATCTTGTCTTTTACCATTTTCAAGAGATTTGAATCTTCTTCTGCTGGTTATGAAAGAAAAGTCTGTCCCGATTTTACAATAATTAAGACACTTGCTTTTAAAATGACATTTTAATATGTCTGATTCCTCTGAATCCCACAACACTTGCATATCTTCTGAAAAAATACTGTCATATAAAGCAGAACCCTAGGATCCCAACAGTACTTACTGCCAAGCCCATCAGCATATTTTCCCCCACAGTGATCTGGATTCTCAGCCCAAAGAGGGCATTCATTCCCCTCAGCTTGAGTTTGTTCATCAGCTGTGTGTGCACCTCATACTCCATGAATGGCAGGAGGTTACTGATAGAGGTTGCATTTGCTTCAGCCTGGGCTTTCTTCTTCAGCCGGCACAACCTGGCAACACAAACCAGCACAGACAGAGCTCCAGTGCATCTGTGGGGACTGAAAGGGACCACAGGGTACCTGGAATTCTTTTTCCTCATTGTATAACCTAATACAGCTTCTTTTCAATTCTTCTAGATGGCTGCAATAGTAAAACAAAATGCCAGTTCTTTACAAGAACTCGTTGAGACAGTGCCATCTAAAAACTTCTATTTGCAGCTTTTCTTCTAGTAAGACCCCCAATGCAAACATCTATTTCTCTTGCTACAAGCCTCCATCAAACATTTCAGGCACAAGTACAGAAAATTACTACTGTAATTTCTAGTGGTAGAACTTTTTAAATTCCTATTAATACAGTTATTCAAGACACACATTTGAAAGAAGAAAAAAATCCCAAAATCAAACCAAACCCATGTTCCCTCACAGCTAAAGCAATAACCATGTTTATCTGAAAAGAATAAAGCAGAGCACAGCAATCCCATCTCTTACTATATGTCAGTCATCTTCCACTCTCTGGGTTTAGTCCTACAAGCTGAAATTCAAAGCCCACACCAGTGCAATGATACTTTCAGAGAGAAATCTTATTCAAGAACACCTGCCACTTGCATGTTTTATAATATAAGGTTTGATGACACATCGGATTTTAGCAACAGGAATTCTTTCAAAGGTCTCCAAAACTTTACTATACTAAGGAAGTATTTTGACAGATACCTGGCTTGAATAAGACATCCCTTCCCAACAACTATTGCCTCGACAGGAAGATCAATTGTGGTGAAAAGGACATCAGGAACTTTTTGCTTCCTGCAGTTGTAACAGTAAGTGAGGTGAGCAGGAAATGGCATGTTCAATTCATCATATGGGATATGGCAAAATCCACAGCCTGGTGGTGAAGCTTCTTCAATCCTAAAAATACATTATGGAGAGAATACTTAAAACATCTGCATCTTGTTACCCATGCTCAGCAAGTGCACATGTGTACAAACATCTACAGAGATCTACTTAAATCATACAGCACAACTGAACCCTGGTCCCTCAAACCAGTGTGACAAGTATTACAATACACCAACTACAAGAAGAAAAAGTTGCACACTACTTGCTAAAATGCTATCAATAAAACTTGCATTGAAACTTCTTATGCAGGGATTGAGAAAAAGGACATTCAGTGACCAACAATTCATAAAAACCTGTAACATCACTGAACTGGCTTTAAGCAGTGTAACTTCCAAATATAATTCATGATACCACAGTTGTACAAAGAATTTGCTGTACCAAACACACCCAAAATTTTCTTTTTCTCATTGTGTCCAAAACCCCGTAAGAGCAGAATACAAACAACAAACCAATCATCCTTCTGAGAAGCAGCACAATAAGGTATCAGGTAAAATTAATTATTTGCTTAGGACACAATCTCTCTCTCCCCCATGAGGAATACCCAGGAATGACCACTATAAAATTATGAACAGGGAAAGCACAGGCCATCTGCATCACTGCAAATGGATTCTGTTTCACATGAACAATTCTTCTCAGTGATCTTGAAGAGGTGCTTCAGCAAGTCTGTCAGATTTGGAACACTAGTTATCATAAGACTATGGCAAATAGATTTTGTGTTGAACATGAGCTTTGTCTGTTTATCTGTTTTACCTCCCTCTGGCATTTCTAATCCATGCCAACACTTAGTAGCACCAAAATGCATATTTTGAAAAAGGTGCTATTTTCTTTATATTATGAACATGGTATTTCTTTCTCTTCATCATATAGTGACTACAAAACCAAGTATTTTAGGTCTGGCTACAGTTTTTAAAACTCCATCTACACCAGAAGACAGAGGTCTTCTGCTAACAAAATAAAAGAATAAGAAATTGTAAAAAAACCATATTGACTGGTTTATTATGGAAAAAGCAATGCAAGTACTACAGTGTAATATGCAGCCTTGCTTACAACTATAATCATCCCTTGAAATATTTGATTACTATCCTGATGAATACATAATAAATTACCCATATGCATTAATTAATCTTTTTTTTTTCCCAAAAAAAATCTTTGTGGCAATGCTCAGTCTTCAAATTTTATTTCAAAGGGTAGAAACAAAGGGAAACTTCATGTTTGGCCTTCAGTTTCATGACTTTCTTCATCAACTTCAAGAAACACATACTTATCTTGGAACAATCTGGCATTGTATTTGTTTGATAACCAAGCTACTTTATCTCCCACACATTAACAGTATTTAATGGAGCATATATACGCACATTACAGACACAGCCACTTTTGGCTTTTTTAAGTTATCAAACATCTGTCATTTTTAGGGTGTGATACAAAATTAAGAAAAGAGACCTGAAGAGCAGCAAAGGAAAAAACTGAGTTATGACCTGTGTTAGTAGTCAAACGTGTTACCTTATTGAGACTGTTAGAAATAAAAACAGAGTATCTAATGGGTGCAGAGCTCCATTACTCCTGTGGTGGTTGTTGTTAGTGAAAAGCAGTAAAGTGGTTGGTCCCGCATCCTGCACTGTAACACTGTAACCTACCCTAATAGAGAAGAACTATCTTGGCTCTGAGGAAAAAAATCAACCTCTCCCTTCTCTGACCCTATGGAAAAGAAGCCAGGCTGCCAAGACAACCTTTGTTCCAAACAGCCTTCCATGGTGCCATCCTGAAGGAACCTAGGGTTCAGTACAGCTGCTGTGCCAGATGCAGACAAAATACAGACCTCTTCACTATAAGAGAAAAGAACAACAACAGAGTGAATGCCTCCTACTTAGTGGGTGCTTTTATAGCAAATTATCACATTAAAAGGCTACTACAAGTCTCAACGAAGTTCAACATCACCCCTTATTCTGTGCACTTGTGCAATTTTATCCATTAAAACTCACAAGCAATCCTCTTCCGGTATTTAAACCACAACCATTGCATAAGCACAAGGTGAAGAAGGATTGAACTTAAGAGCTTTGCCTCATGTTACAAATATTATAGCAACAGAAAGGCTAACCAGGTTTAAGTATGGTTTTCAGTGCTATGGTTCACAATGCAAAGAAATGCAGCAAACCAACTAAACATTAAAAAATACAAGGCATAATTTTTTACCAAAGTAAAAGGGAAGTTGAGAGTCCCAGCATCTTATTAACATTCCATTTTCAAAAGGAAATTACAACCCAATACTGACAAGGGTGCTTCTTGAAGGTTAAAAAATGGCAAAACATTAAAATTTTACTAGGAAGAATTACAAAAATAGTACATTTTGCAAAGTAACCAACCATACTTAGGATTTAGCAGAGTTAAAGCTCTCAGAATGACCACAGAGCTTTAATAATTCTCAAGCTGTTAATTAAGAAACAAACATCTAGTATTCAGTATAAAAGACCATACTGAAAAAAAAATAGAGAAAATCTTTCCCACATTTTCTAGAATGACACATATGCCTTTTTTTAATTAGTTGTTTCTCTTTCCAAAATAATTTTTTATACATATCATGTCTGGCAGACCAGTACTTACACACACAGGCTTGTGCTTTAAGCATGGAATAAAGCTGAACTGGCAATAAGTATGGGAATTCCAATAAATATTTTATCAATAATTAAACACTACCATGTTAAACTCCTTTAGAGAAACGCAAGCATCAAATAACCCAGTAGCTGATTGCCTGTCTATGCTCTCTGCATTCTTTCCCCATAGTTAGGGTAGGAAGAATAATACAAACTATACATACTTTTTACAAGGAGACTGACAAGCAAAGGAATAAATGCTTCATTTTGGTGTGTTCATCCCTCAGTGATGGAGTAATTCAGGAAAATATGGTAAGTCAAAACTTTTCTAACTTGTCTCCTTAAGAAGCAAATTTTTAGTGCTTTTACCTTCAAATATTTAGGCAAAATCAACTTGAAAGAAAGTAAATTCAGATGTTCAAATTTCCTTGCTACTTCCCAAATGCAATTCAAAATAGTGAACCAGAATAATTTTCTGTTTAATATCAGCAGACACATCTGGCTCCAGGGCAAACTGGTTTTGGGCCTGAAATGTGAAGTTTTTCATTTAAGTTCTGGTCTGCCAGTTGTTATCCAATAATGAAACTTCAATACATATACTTTTATAACAGTCTTAATTATTTAGATAGATTAGGTTTAGAAAACTTCATGGATAAATTAATATTGTTACTACAAAACAAATTGTAGACTTTAGTTTAAAAGAAAAAATCGTAACTTTCATTAGAAAAAATCATAAAACTTAGATCTTGCAAGATCTAACCATATATAAAAATGCCTAATACTGAAATTCCTTAAACTCTGTAAAGTAGTTATAGAATAGACAGTAGCAACACCTGTACTGGAATAGTTAATTTTCAATCCACTGATGATGAAGTAAGTTTTCTGTGGCATTTTGAAAATAAAATCATCATCATCATCATGATTTACCAAATGCTGGTTGATTCACTGTAGCCCACTACAGCATGACAACCCAATGCCTTGGCATGGGATTTTATTTCTTGTCTGATTTCTGCCCACCAGGCATCTCGTGTCTCCGGTTCATCTGAAAGACAAAGTATAAATCAGTTCACTATTCTGGACTATGCTGACACAAAGCTTCATGCAATTAAACTGAGAAGCTGAGGTTTTCATATTCAAGTGCTTTGAATGGGGACACTTTATTTCCTTCCTATTTATCACACTTCAAGGAAACACTAATGGGACCTTTTCACTAATTATTTTGTTTCTCCCCCATGTGAGCAGGTTCTCACAAATTACTGCATTCTTCTTGCCGCCCATATGACAAATAACACTAAAACACTGTAGATACTGTTCCCATCTCTACCTATTTTTAGTCCCAAACCACACTCAGTTACCAACAACACAAGAGCAGTGTGTAACTTGAAACAAAGCATCACAGATACTCTGTAATGCTGAAAAACTAACAGTAATGAAACAGTATTTCTAGTAGTAAACTAGTCTTTTACTTTGCTTTACACTTGGTAGCTTTGAAATAACCTCAATAGCTTTTCCTACTGGAAGCGGTTCTCTCTGTTAACCAGATTTTGAAAATATTTGTTCCAAACTGTATCACTAATCAGACAGGCCTGTGACAGTTCTAACTGTGAGAACCCATAGGGACTTAAACTACTTCTACATTTACAACATGAAGAAATGCAGGATGTATGTTGTCAGTGCTTTTTTGCTTCAGCATCCTGGAAACGGCACCTTTCCTCCAAGCCCACGAATGGATTTGAATTACCTTTACTGTCCTCAAGGTTATATGTTAAATATATCCTACCTGCTTTTCTTGAAAACTACAAGATACAAAAATACAAAAAAAGTGTGCTGCTAGAATAAGTTCATATGCAATCTATTTATTTTAACTGCTCGGCAATTTGTTCCCATAACTAAAGCTCTTGTCTTGCAAGATTTTTACATAAGGAGCCAACAAATACTGAATTTACAACTAGAATTTGTCAGCTGCTTCTTCTCTCAAAACTTACCTGTTTCAACGAATATAGTTGGCAACTGTGTTAATTGTTGATACAAAAAGGGAAAGCCAGTAACAAAAAAATAGGCACCAAGGGTTCCGAGTAGAGAGATTCTTATGGGATTTCCCTGAAATTAACTGAACTTACACAGATACAAACTTCTGGCCACTGAGCTCTCCTTGCTGAATCATAATTTAAATATCCATGTCAAAACCTGGAATTTATTTGGAACCAATTTTGTACTACCAGGAATATTTACCAACACAGTGTATGATAACCACATTATCATACACTTGGTTCTCTGACAACATGACAAACAAAAATGCAAGATGCAGATATACACATAATTTAAAAGTTACTGAAACAGAAATATCGTAAAGTAAGATGTATTCATTCATGACTTTACCTCAACTTTGCATTTAGAGCTAGGCTTTAATTTTTCTAAAGTAAACCAATGATAATTTTCTAATTCAAAGGAAGAGCACAGAGGTCTGTATATTCAATTACACCTAACTTTAGATGGCAATGCTTGTGTAACTCACAGCATTACACTGACCAGCAGCAGCCTGGATGCTCAGACTAAATATTCAACTTTTGCTTTAAGAAATGAACACTGAAGAGAAAAAACCTTACAGTGAGAATTTTTAGGAATGTTCTCTACAATCAACAAAAATATACACGTCAGGACACAAAACAAGGGACTTCTATGAACGCTATCAATCCTGTTCTGCAATATCCAAGTTCACTTTAGCAGGTTTCAGTGCACTACTAGCAGAATGTTGAGGTGCTGCACTTCACTCCCAGTATGAAAACACTGTTTAAATCCTCTCAGTGACTGGGAAAATAAATGTTTAAGACGATACTCAGCAATCCTGACTCCGATTTCTGGAGCACCTGCTCTCCTCAGCTTTGGAATTCCTGAGACTCCCACAGAAATAATCCATCACAACACAGGGCTGGACTCCCCAGCTCAGCTCTCAGAACCACTTGTGGTACAAAAAGTGGGAAATGCCTTCTCTTTGCAGGTACCCCTCTGGACAGAGGCTGCTTCTGCTGGCAGCAGGTAACAGCAGCAGGGGTGGCTGAATCGAGGGAGGATCTCTGGAAATGGATTGTAAGGCCAAGCTACAACATCTGACAAATTCATAGTGCATGGAAGATGTCAGACCACAAGCACATTCTGTGAGAGTTCTCTCTTAACTCTTTTTGGTGAAATGGACAAGGATCTTGGGAGCAATTCCTCCTTTCCCCTCCAGCCATGGGCCAGAAATTGTTTTGATAAGCAATGTGTTTCTCCTTACAGATGAAAAGTCTAAGTAGCAGCAAAAGTGGTTCTCTGACCATGGAGAAAAACACCTGCTCAATGAGACTGGATCACAGGCAGCTGGTTATAAACAGCGACTAAATAGCCACACAAATTCTTGTTCTTCACAGAAAAATGCCTGCAAAAAAGAAATACCCTTTTCTCTAGACAAAAAAAAAGCGCTAATTTTCAAAACTACAACTTGTTACACCTTTTGGTTCCATGTGGCAAAAACTGCTTCTACTTATCACCAGTGACATTTCTATGTCAAAGTGCAAGAAAATGTGAAGTCATGATGAGGATTTGAGAGTTAGCAACAGGTGAAGTGACTGAGGATGAATACAAAAAGTGCTGTGAAATAAAGGTAAGCTTGATAAAGACAGGAATGACATTGAAAAGGAATGCAGCCACAGTGAAAACTGAAATGGAATGAGATGTTGAAAGGAAACAGGGATCCTTAAAGTGAACATAAAAGGTAGAAATAGTGACGGGTCCCAAATCCTATGCAAACATTTAGCTTTCCTCCACAAAAATTCATAGTTTAAATTATTGAAGTTGTTAAGAGTCTTAACAATTTTCTTACCTAACATCTACAAGGACACCTTACCATTATGGCAAACACATACTGTTGTGAAGTTGCTCAACACTGTCTTGCTAAAACAACATTTAACCCCTTATTCTAAGAACTCTAACAAAACTATTAACTACAGAAATGTAATGGATCATTTCCATTCTTATGAGAAGTAAGAAGTATTTTCCAGCCATTGTCTTCAGCATTAGAGGATCAGGCCCAATATCTTTCGAAGAATCCAACAGTTTCTTATTGCACAAGAACAAATATTTCTGTAAGAGTCATGCAGAAGCAACTGTTTGTAAAGAAGGCTGTGACCTCTGCTTAAGATATTTGACTATTTTTTTGTTCCAGAAAGAGGCCAAAAAATAACAATTATTATCTTTATATATAAATACTGTACATTCAGTTTACGTGAACTTACCTTTGCATATTAAAACACAAAATAATAGTCTACAATTAAAATCAAACACCATGACATTGCAATAATAGGTTGATACAAAACACTGAATGCAGTGCAATGTGTAGCATTCATATTCTTCTGACAAATATTTTCACAAGCAGCCTTTTTTGACACATGAGCCACACAATTTCACATGGGGATGCTGTCGTAGCATTTACAAGTTTAGTAAAGCTAAGGATTTACATAAACAATTAGAGGAGTTAGGGAAGCAGGATGGCATGTGTCCAGCACACTCCTTGGGAGTGCCTGTTGGTTGTTTGGCTAAGGCAAAAGCTTAAGAACTAAGGGTTTGCAAAGCAGATTCAGCAGACAGGAGCCAGAAACAGTGGGTATTTTGGCGCATGCTTGGATCAGGTGACAGTACAGACTGAAAACTATGGCAGCTCACTGAAATGGTTACAGAAAGTAATGGCCCTGGATTCTAGGTGGAAGCAAAAAGGCAAGCATACAGAGCACTCAGTCACAAGCTTTCCTAGCAAATGTACCGAGTAGTTTGGACCAAGGTTTCTCTACAACTTTAAGCAAAAAGGTTTGCAGGAAATTCCAATGCTAATTATGTCCTCTTTGTGGGAAACTGAAGGCTGAAGACTAAACTTACTTTATTAATGTTTCCAAATTGGCAGGATATTTATAACCAAGTGGAAGCAAAGCACACTGTTTCTATGGTTGAGGACTTGAGAAACAATGCTGTCAAAAGTACAGTGCTCTATAAAAATTGTGCCAAATCAAACCTCCTCCAACTGAAACTTTTCAAACTGATTTTATTCGGCAGTTTTATAAGACACAAACAGCACTTCTGCACCTGGAATGTTCTTTGAGTTAGCTCTATCCACCACTCATCTCCTTTAGAACACAAGGTTGAGCTCTACTATCCAGGGGCCAATATCTATAAATCTTTCACCTAGACACTATCACTTTCTCATTCATAAGAAGCAACACCTTTCCCATATTATTTGCTAGAGGTTCACTTGTACAGGTTCTTTCAAGATTTAGCCAGAAGCTGCATTTTGCTAGTCCATTTAGATTTTTTTGAAACTGAAGACAGATTAAGAAGAATGGCCTCTTGATGCCACAGTTCATACCCAAGAGTTGCTGTATCCTTAAAGCTGAATCCTTAGACAACCTGAGGAAATTACTTCAAAGTACAGACTGTCTGATTCATTTCGATCAATTTTACATTGTATAATTTAGTCAATATTTACGTGTATAACACAATACTCGGACAGGAGGACAATCATCCAAGGAAAATTTTCATCATCCATAAATTAATCATTTTTCTGTTGTTTTAAAAATGACAATGAAGGTCAATATTCTTTCAAATTCAGTCTTTGAATCTTGCATTAGGCAAAGCTATTATCCACACATTCAATATTCCCTTATTTTTGTACCTTCTTAATTAAAAACTTACTGACAGCTTATACACAAAGAAGTGTGGTATTTTTCTGTAGGTTTGGCTGGTTGGGTTTTCCTAACAGAGACTTTTGTTAGGTTTATAAGCAGCCTTCCCCGGACCTTGAAGTTTTATTTAATCCTTTCTGGTTATGCCATTAACATTGACATTATTAACTTTCTAAACCATTTAACAACTAAATAATTGTGTGTACAGAAACACAGATCCTCTGGTCTGTAAAGATTAACACAAAATTCAGGTTGCAAGTAACTAAACCTACAGCAGATTAACCTAAAACTATCAAAAAAGTTTCCAAGCCACTCCATCCTTGTTTAGAAATAC